ATGCTCATCAAAAAGTACCGCAATGCGTATTATCGCATTGGTACAATGGTTGTCGAGCATGAAGCTTGGAACACCCATCGATTGAACACCAGTTCTCTATACAGCTCTAAGACCAAAACATACAAGCTCAGATAATTCCCAACAACGACAATCTGTCAGCACCCAGAATCGACTTATAGGTCAAGCCTCTAGCCGTCATCGGCTAATGACGAGTCCTAGATTCCCCCGCTCATTCTACACAGCTCGCTCTACATTCTCTCCAGCAAAAACTCGGCCTCGTACCTAAAACTTTCATCCCCGACATCGAGGCCAGGTACATTAAATACGTGGGGTGCGCCGGGGAATATCTTAACGATGGCCTCGCTCCCACTAGCCTGCCACTTGACCCCCATTAACAGCGTATCATCGAGAACGGGGTCATTCGTGCCGCAGAGGAACAGTGCAGGCGGGAGCTTTCCCCGCGGCGTCGACGACGCAAGGGCCCCCAGATCCTCGAACAGCGGCGACACTAACGGGTTCCTTCGCTCCTCCGCCGTCCGGCCTGGCATGTACACATCCATGAAACTCTGCGCGATGGCGCGGTTGATCAGCACCGGCTTCTCGTACGACATCATGGAGGGGAACCCGAGCGCAACTGAGTAGTTCCCATACGGAAGGACCAGACCCCTAAGCGCGTGAGCGGGCCGGCTTCGCAGCAGCGCGAACGCGGTTAGTACGGCGAAGTTTGCGCCGCTGGACTCCCCGGCCAGGAAGAGGAGCTTGTTGCTGTCGCTGTCGGAATGGTCTACGAGATGCGTAGCTACGTCGATGCAGTCTTCACGGCCCGCGGGCCATGGGTGTTCTGGTGCCAGGCGGTAGCCTACTGACATTGCAGTCAACTGGCACGTGTTCGCGTAGAATTTCAAGAGGCTGTCTTGGCTGGGTTTGGAAGTCAGCGATCATGTTTGTGATCTCAACATTCACTGACACCGTTGCTACCTTCTCCGCTTCTTTGGATGTTGCGGGTTGATGTTTGGGATGAGAGGTATCGGGGCGGTACTCACTGTCTATGGCTTCCGATCGTGTAGCCGCCCCCATGCATATGTAGTAAAATTCCCTTGCTCGCCTCCCCATTATCAGGCTTATACACCCGCACGGAGATGTCGCGTCCCGGCTCACGAGAGGGGACGTTGAATTCTTGGCCTTCTGGGAGCGGAGCTTGAGGAATGGTCAAGGTCAGTCTATCGTCTCACTCTTCGGCTATGATTGGCTGAGATATGCCTGACTGTCGTTCTATCGCACATAGAAGCCAGAAAGAAGCAAGCACGAGAGACAAAGTGTGCTTTCACGAACCTGGCTTAAGCCCGCCGATTTCTCCAGCCTCCATCATCTCGCGAAATTTCGGTGCCCCGACCTCGTACCATCGCGGCACCGAGCTCGTCATCTTTTCCAGAAGGTCACTGTACTTCTTCGAGTCTTCCGTCGTGTTGTTCGGGTCGAACCTCGAATAGTTGATGACGATGTCGCTGGTGAGAGGCATTCTGGCTAACTTTTGCGTCTTGAAGTCCGGGTTGGGTCGCTGTGAGTTATCTTGTTGAATAAGAGATTTGGCTGATGTGGACGAGTGGTTTGTCTGCTGCTTTATTTCCAATCGAACGGGATATCATCTCTTCTTTTATAGACACCCGTGCCGCGCCGTATATCCACCATTGGTTCCATTAGGGTTAACGACGTCGCTTTTCCTCCGTCTTTGACTCCACGTCATGAAGCTCATCTTGTCAAGGGCCAGTCCCGTCCGGCTCGAGTGACATTGTTGGTTCGCCGAACGAGTCATACTCACCTGATTCCCACATGCCATGCAGAGGCACGGTGTTGGCAGGATCCGTGCTGGGTTTCGTTTTAACTTCTCTACTTTACGGGACAAACAAAGATGATACGATACTTACTGATACATCTCTCTTATTGAAGGCTAACTAATAATCCAGATACATCTAAGATTTCAATACATATCCGTCAATTTCACTGAAGCGTTTCGATATATTCCTCTTCCTGTCTTAATTCCTCTTACATTGGTATTCTTGATTAGTCTCTACAAAAGCATGAATATAGCTTGCTGAATGAATGCCATCCGTCGTTGGTCCAGTGGGGTTGCCGTTGCCGGGGATGCATGCTTAAGTTCCGTGGATCTCCCGGGTGACTTTTGGGAATCAGAGAAGCCGAATCTGGAGTAGACGCGACTCTGTTGGCGGCGCGGTGCGTGGGACGCATACTTCCGTGGATTCCCCCGGTGGGCTTTTGGGAATCAAAGAAGCCGGATCTGGAGTAGACGCGGCTCTGTTGACGGCGCGATGCATATTAGTTATCATTTCCGGTGGATCGCCAAGATCGGGGGATTTAACTCCGATCCCACTACTTAGTAACTCGCCCATCGATCGGATTTTGAATCGGATTTAAGCCATCTGTGATCCAGAATGCTGAATAGGGGTCGAGGGTTTCTAGTATTTGCTGAAGGGCTGCGGCACACACGTTTGCGTCAAACTATGCACGCACTGTTAGGGAACGGTCTAGCATAACTAGGGGTGACATCATTTGTAGTTGCGCAAAGGTCACGATATTCCTGGTAGCTAGCACTGCATTACACAAACATAATCCCTTTACCCCCTTATCGTGGCACATAGCACGAGTACCCAACCGCTCATTTTCCGCCCTAATCGACGAGTTGTCCAGGCGGTAATTATTTTCGGAAGTCTAGGAAATAACTTATATCTTAGAAGCAGGCTCTCGAGAAGTGATACAGATAGCGCTCAAGCTCGACTGCTCTACACTCTGTAGCCCGAGTTTGTCCTATCAAACTGTAACCTTTGCCGAAACAATGTATGATCGGGGGATAGAATTAATGCATAGTTTTTATTTTACCAACATTTAGGGGCATCTCTATACCGTGACCCCCAGCCAATATTGTCAACATCATACCATAAGCTCTAGTCTTGCCCACCATGTACCTTGATCCTATAATTATACTGGACTACTATTTCTAAACTGTCCTCGACATGCAAATCTGATGATGGTTTTATTTTCCATCTGGATCCGAACATTGAAATTGTATTTGCTGCGTGCTCTCTACTATTGTCACGAACAGCGCGTCCAGTCGGTTGAGTAAACTTCGTGTCTGATTCTTCGATCTTAGCTGTCTGCAAATTAAGACCTAGAGTTCCAACAAGGCTTATGACCGATAGCGAACGCAGGTCAGCGTTTTTGGCCCAGTGACTTAGAGCGGGCTTTAGTGAATCCGCAGGCCATACTATGTTTGTGCTCGGCCATTTGGCCTGCGACACTCTCTCCGCAGATGACATGACTTCGAAAGCCACCGTGTAAGATATCTTAGCACCTGGCGGAGAGTGCAAAAAGCCCGCTTACTGTCAAATAAGTGTAGACGACTATTCCTAAATATTTCTCAGGTACCGCTCAACTAAGAAGCAGTCTGGTCTAACAGCACTATATTCGTCCTATCATGACAATGCCTACACACAAGTAGATTATATTGTCTTAGAAGTACTCCACTGATATCGGTACCGGATAATTCCGTGTACAACTCACCTACATTGCACATGCCAGACTCTCCTTGAATAGCTTGGTGTTATAATATACGTTTTGTATTACAACGTTACCAAGACATGAATAGGTTTGCGACGGAGTGCGAGGCTCCCCGACGGGTTTCAGGAGGTGTACCGACCCAAACCACTGATGGAAAAGCCCGAGCCACGTGTCGCGGGAATCTATATAATGACCAGAGAGAGTTCGAAGAGAAGCCACATAGATACCGGGCATACTGCACACATAAATGCCTGCTTGAACTGGTCGAGGAAGACATTCTGGACCCTAAGTGCCCTAATCTCGAATTACACCGATGTCAAAAGAACTATGGCAACCTTTTCAGGACCAACGGCTACCATTCTATCAGCCACGAACAGTGACTCCAACTACTCGCCGACCATCTAAGGATTACGCTCGAATACGGAATCATCGCCTTGAAAATCACTGGCGCCGGCGGAGTCCTTTTCAAGGCCACACTTCCCTCATACGGCCACACCTCCATCAACAAGGACACGGTAAAGGTCTTTATCCCTGATCTAGAGCATGAATCCAGGGTGTACGAGCGGCTCCAAGGTCTACAAGGCGTTCACGTACCTGTCTTTCTGGGTTCCGTCTATTTGCGCTCTCTCGGTAGGACGTGCCACTACGACCTTCGCGTTGACATTGTGCATTTGTGATTATTCCTTCAGATCTCAAATCGCCATGATCTAGTCTACGTCTATTTTCTTTTTTACCTCATTTGAGTCTACCGGATATGTCTGATAACTAAACAACTATGATTCTTTAGTCGATAACCCGATCCACCTCCTCTATGATGCCGCGAGCTACAAATAAACAAGAGAGTTGCTGCGATGCCACTAATCGCCCGGCGTCAGGTGTATTAATCCCAGAGTAAATAGAAACCTTGAAGCAGTCACATAGGAGGTAGGTAAGAGTTCAATAGTCACAGGGTAAGTGAAGGTTGGTCAATTGACCCCTGGTTTTCTAATATCTGAGGGAAACCCCCTTATATATACTTACCCAAGGCCACTATCTACTCTAGGGTCTATAGTAACTATGACCCCTGACACCGAGAGGGACGCGGCCAGAACACACTGCAACGTCAACGCACACGCAGGAGACACAATGGCAGGAGCTGCTGATACCATGCTTTGTCAAGTTTTCATCATGGGATAGAAGCTATTAGATGACAGACTTTGTCATCTAATGCTCGTGGGCTATAAAAGTACATAGGTTGTAGTATTGAACACTTTACTAACTCATTTGTGTACTTAAGACTTAAGTACTACTCTACGGTCTAGCGTGTTCTGCCGCACCCGACCGGCTTTTCCCAGCAAAAGCCTAAATCGAGCTAAATTTTTGCCTCCACTGATGGGCATAGCAGGGGTTTGTTTATAATTGGTTTTTACTGGCAGAATTGCAACACTGGACCCATAGCTCAGCGGTAGAGCATCTGATTCCAGCTTCTGACCTTACAATAGTAAGGTGCAACTGCCTCCAGAAGGTCATCCGTTCAAATCGGGTTGGGTTCAATTCCTAATATTTTGCAAAATAGATTTAGACTATCTACAATCAAGTCAACGGTTTTTTTTTTCCCCTTGCGTCCTATCTATCGCCCAATCAACGCTCTATGTGTTGATCCATTGCTAGCCCCAACTTGTATATAGGTATATATAAGTATGTATATATATGTGTAACTATAGCAACGGCTAGCGCGTCGGAATTCCAATCCCTAAAATTGTCCGCTCCAATTGAGCCAGCTTTATCTTCTTTCTTCCACCATGGACACCGTTCTCGCTAGCCTTCGAACAAGTCAGTCGTTATTTGAGGACACGCGACAGTGCTTGCGATTAGTTCTGCGTAGTCCAGGCCGGTATTGCATTCCCTTAGCTCCTGCGTCTTCTCGGGTGACAACACGGTAATACTGGCGCGAAATCTGGACGGGAGAGGCTTAACAGGTTGTCTAACCTCCTGCCAATGACTCGATAACTATGTAGTACCACAGCGGCAAGAATAGCCAGCCTAGTGTATTAGCGAGCGTTGCTACGGTATTCAAAAAGTCGGAGTACCTAAGCGAGCGACAAGGGCAAAGATCCTTTGATGGGTAGCATGGTCTGTTAGGATACGTCTCGGTGCGAACGGGAGAGTCGTGAGTCGCCGAGAGGCCATAACACATACAAATCTTTTTTCGGAAATGTACTACCGGTACGGGAGACCTCTGAGCCGTGTAAATGACCCAAATGAGGTCGGTGGATATGTAGGAGGCAACGGTATCGGATGAGGCAGCGGGATTAGTGGACTAGGGAGGCCTGTGAGGCCTAAAAAGTAGAACGTTAATCAGATAAAAAGGGTAGCAGAAGCGAACAAATAAAAGACTTTAAGCTCGATACGTCTCGGTGCGACTGCTGCACTTCTCCTATATCAAGCCCTAGTATTAAAGATAGAATGCTCGCATCAATGAGGTCCTCAATCGGATTCTCCCTGCACCTTCATGCCCCTTGAGAAAAGCCAAATCTCCTGCCCTCTTCATTCTTCCTTCACTTGGTGATGCCACCGAAGTCTCGCTCTAATTGATCAGATCACGATCAGCTAGGCGAAGAGCGCTGGTTCTGTTAGCCCCCTTACACATAGAGCCGTCCTATCGAATCTGTCTAAAGTCGTTGTGACTAAAGTGTGCCAATGTCTGTCTCACAAGGCAAATAGCTATCAATAAACCAGAACATGATACCTACTAGATGTCAGCAAAAGACACGAAAAAAGTTGTAGCACGATGGTGAAGGTTACCAGTGATAGTGTATGTAGCATAGGCGGGGTATAACGATATCCAGATTAGAGACGCGATCAACAAGACAGCCAGGGTCACAGCCAGGATTAATAGCGGAACCACCCATCGATTGCTCGGCTTAGGTGATATCCAAGTTTTTGATTTAAACGGCACTGATGGTAACCGACGCTGTGAGAATGCCATCTCCTACGATGGAACAGTTGGACGCTTGGATGGGATTATTCCAAATGGGTTTGCGGGTCAGATGAGCCGGGTGCATTACAATTTGCCCTTACACGAGAATATGACGTTATTACAATCGAAAGGCGAGTCGCTTAAAAGTTATCGAACAAAATACAAATTACCATGTTTCTTACGCAACCTATCTCGCACAAATGCGTTCTCTATTCTTTTTTATTGTACAGAGGCATCTTTTTCAAGCTGGGAAGAACTTCCGCCATCATCCCTGTTGACTGTATGCCATTCTTCGAGGGTATAAGAACATCTTACCCCCACACCTGGTTGCAATGTTTATGAACCTTGTTAAGAGCGTTTTATACTAAAAAACATTGAAATGAAGTGGATGACAACTTACATGACAAAGAGTTACCAATCACTCACTTTTCACACTTTCAAGAGTAGTATAAGTATGTCGCTCTGCCAAGACCAGGAAGCCTCGGCCTCTAACGGCCTGTTGCAAGGTACTCATATACCCGAATAGGCAAATGACCATTTATGGCAGCTGTTAACACATATTAGGGGATATGCTATGGGTCTTATTCTAGAGCCCTGTATCTTTGATGGTTAGTATTATGAATCAAACTAACACGTTAGTATTTGGAAAAGTTGCCAAAACCGAATTCAAGATTGAATATCTTGAATCCTAGTGGGCGAAATGCGAGGCGACCTTGTCTATCACATAGTGATGATTCGGCGCCGCAACGGCAGACAGGGGTTTCGGCATGGATGATCTCGGCGCGAAAAGAGAGAACGCATGATATAAGGTCCCTATGTGGCAGGTCGGACACAAGGCTAGAGGTCAAAATAAGCTTCGAGGCGGAGCTTGGCAATGAGAATCTGGACCGAGTTATGAAGGATGAGAGATTGGACAAAGTATATAAGGCAGTGTAGACTCAACTCCGTGGATGCATAGAAAACAATTCATTCGCTTGGCGATTTCCATGCTGTTCTCTCTTCGCGCCTCTACAATATCAGAAACACCCACTCGAGATGAAGTTCTCCGCCGGTCTTTCGATTCTGGCACTAGCTGGCGCCTCGGCAGCCATTCCGAATAAGGGCTACCCAACAAGCAACGGATCAAGTTACCCAACAACTACTCTCGCTGGCCTTGAGGTCATCGATACCCAGTTGGTCCGCGATGTTCGCAAACTGGTAGAAGGATTCAATGAACTGCAGCCCTATCTTTATAAGCACGTTATGCGGACATGGCTATGGGGTGTCGCCGCCATGAACGCTAACGAGACTCTGAAGAGCATGATTGATGTTGAACTGCACGCTGTTGGCAGTATGATGCACGATATGGGCTGGGACAGTATGCTTCCCCTCCAAGAGATTCTCCTAATCAACGAATACAATCACTAACAGACGTCACATAGTGCGGCCAAACTCTCCTTATGTCACATTGTAAGGCGAATAGACACTCTATGTACCCTTATACTTCGCCCTAACAATTCTCCATAGGGATCAACGGTTCGAAGCTGATTCTGGTCTCGCCGCCATCAACTATGTGAAAGCTCATCCCTCCGCGCATGGGTGGGACGATGCCCGCCTAGAGAAGATGTACGACGGCATCGCGCTGCAGATTGAGCGCAGCCTCGTTGCGAACAAGAACGTGCAGAGTCGCTTCATTGTACAAAGTGTGGCATGGGAAATCCCCGGGCCGCGCGACCCCAGAATCCCGGAAAAGGACTACAATAACATCCTCGCGCTGTTTCCGAACCATTATGCTAGCCGCGGTACACGGGAAACCTTTACCTGGTTCGCCGCCCACAAGCCCAATGGCACATACAACAACGCCATGGAGGCCTTTGGTCTCGAGAACGTGCCTGGTTACAACAGCACCGGGCACCGACTCTACGACACAATTACTGCTAACGCGGCAAAAGAGGCTGCCATGTACCCCAACACTACCATCTACGACTAAACGATTGCCGTATGTGGGGAAGATAAGGTGGCATGATGATGAGATATAATTTCTTCAAAAGCAACTTGGTGTTATCGAAAGACAGCCCCCGGTCCTATCATGACTTCTGTGATAGACCAGACCTTCATATCTATTTGTACATAAAAGCGTTACGCATTCTATTTATCAACAATTGATACCATTTTCATCCTTTCGAAAGTTGTATGTACGTACATCGGGTCTTGAAGTTGTAATATTTAGGTCTGCTGCCGCCGCCGTACCTTTCGGTGCTACTAACCGCGCAGCTTACATTACCCTAAGGCCGCCTCTGCGTCTGAGCTCAAGTTAACTAACGTTCGCTATGGACTTCTGTAGCGCAGCAAGAGAAACCGTCGTACCGTCAACTGCGTCTACAGAGCGCCTTCCTGGTCGTCCCTGGCGACAACGGGCCCGGTGCTATGGCTGGGGGGTTATCGACACCGCGACGCGACTGTAGGATCGACGCGGGGAACTGCCACAAAACTCTCGCGCACATGGACGGGGCGAGTCGGGAAATGGTAGAGATACGACGAATGGGAGCGGTTCATGACTACTGTTCATGCGACCGGCGCACAGTACGCGAGTCTAGCGACCATCATAGACGAGGCTGTGGGGAAAGAAGGTAGTGGAACAGAGGTGCGTATAAAAGAAGACGACGAAGAAAAGAGCAGAACAACGGGGGCGCATTGCTCATTTTCTCATCTCGCCGTTTTGGCCTTATGATGCCTGGCTACGGGGTGCCAGGGCGTCTTCAAACGGACCGACCATATTTCTGTGCGACGGGAGCGAGAATGAAGATGATCATGGCGGCCACCGCGCTAGAAAAGAGATCGTGACGCTAGCAATGCTGCTGGCGACGAGGAAGAGGGTGGTGCACTTTTTCTTGGCGGCTAAGTCGCAGACGTGCTATTCTAGACCCCATAAAGGCGGGAGAGGGGCGCTTCCGCTGTATCGGTGTCAGATCTTTATTCGAAAAGGAGATGCTACGGACTATCCAGGAGAGTGAAGAAATCGAGATCCAGCTGGTATGAGTGCGATATAGGTATACCCCTTAATTGGCGCCAAGACTCCACACCCCTTTTTTGCCGACGCTACCCCGGGTCCATTTATCTTGGTCGACATCATCGGGATGGAGACCTATGCGTATAGGGCCGTAGCTTCTCAAAAGCCACTTTCTAGCTACTATTAGTCACTTTTATCCAGACAGGGTGAATACCTAGGTGACCGCGTAGCGGCTTTGCAATTTGCTTGTCTACGTGTACCGCCATTTAGACATCCAACCAAAGTTAGCTAATTCGATAAAAAACTGTTTAGCTGTGATCACTGTGATACAGATACAGCGTCAATATGAAATATATCGTTACAATTAGTTTTCCCTCAGTAGGCTTTGAAAAATTCATCGTCACCCTTTCATCAATTTGGACATAATCACCGGTGATGATGGATATTCTACGTTCGTCGTACTTTCACGAACACAAGATGTACGAACTAGTCCCTCAAAACTTTAATATCTATTGCCTTATTCTATCTAATCTTCAACTGCCTCTGACTAAAAAATCCACCAAGAAATAAAATCTATGCATGCC